TGAAATAAATTTGAATATTTATCTACAAATATTTATATTTAACTATATATATTTTTATTTATAACTGTATATATATAATCAATCACAAAACTCAGATATATTAAATAAGGAAATTTAATAATTAATAATAAAATATTCAAATATAACAACCAATGCGATCGAACAGTCAATACTAAAAAATAAGGTAAATATAAACATAAAAACTTTAAAAAACTATAATAAAAAAGAATAAGGGCTGAAAAAGTATTACAAAATATTTGAAAGGCAAAGTGCTAATAAGCAGCAATTTTAATATTCTTACTTTTACAAATGGAAATGAACTAGTATTCTTAACTAATGAAGAAATAAACCAGAAAAAACAGGGTAATTTATAATAATATTCTATTTGAAATATTTTTAAGTAACTAAGGGTATTTAGTTAATTGAGTATTCAGCATTTTCATTTTATAGATCAATGCATAATGTAATGAATATAATATTTTCTTATAATATAGACTACTTTGTAGAGTAAAACTGCCAACACAAATATGATATATACATTAGAGTAATTCATAAATGAACTTTCAATAATAGCATTTTCCAAAACAAAATAAAGAATTTTATCTCATTTTCTGTAGAAGCTTTACTAATAATCTTATTCTATATAAATTAATTTCAATATAGATAAATTTTATAACATAATATAAATTAAAATTAACACATCAACAGACTCAAGTTATATCGTATAATAAGATAATAATTATTATAATAAGAATCTATCATTATCATTAAATAAATTTAGAATATTTTTAAATATATTTAAAGTCTAAAAATAATTAGATTTTCAATAATGTTAGTTTGAGTAACTTTATTTACATTATCAAAATTAAAAATAAAATTGTATTATGATTATTTCACAATTTGATCAGACATCACAGATACTTATCTTAAATAACTAAGACAGAATTAAAAAAAATTAATAATAAAATATAATAATTTAATTACCTTAGGCACTACTTTAAATAATGTGAAGATAAATTATATATAATATTTATTTACACTAGTATCATTGAAATTTACAATCAAGATTGAAATTTAGAATTAAAATTTAGATTTAAAATCATATATAGTCTTATTGCATTTCTTATATTATTAATATGATGAATTATTCTTCTTATATTCAATATATAAATTGGATATCATACTGTACAATGCTTGATACAATGCTAATTAGGCAAATAGAATTTTAAAAATGCATTATATGATATTGACATTTGTTTAAATGCTAAAGTAGCGTCATTATATATCTGCAATAAAGATAAAAAATTACTTCTACATTTTAAAAAAATGAAAAAATCTTTGAAAAATATTATGCATAATATGAATGTTTGCAAATGTTCATGATTTAATTTGTAGTTCAAGAAATAATTGGAAATCAATAGTCATCTTTTTTAAAAATGTATGACTGTTGCTGTACGGTAATAAGTAAAAAATAAATATAAACTTTTTTTCATAGTAATTCACTAAAGACCGAGTACTAAACATTGCTCGAAATACAAAATGTTTGTTCTTCACTCTAAGTTAATTGTTGGATTGCTAGTTTTTGCAGTTTCGTTACCTATAGGACAATTTGATTCATTGAATGATTTAGCTGAGAGAATATCAGAAAATTTAGATGCCTATCAAGTTACTATATTTATAAATAGAAGTGAAAGAATAATATCTGCCGAACAAAATATTGTTTTAAAGAAATTAACATGTCTAAATCCAAGTGTCGTCATAGATATATCAAATTTCAATTACACTGCAGTTGAGAGATATGTACAACCAAAAGTGATTGAAAAACCTACATATACATTTCTAAATCTAATTTTAATTAATGGTAAATATAATGATACGGAAAGTGAAATACTTCGTGTACGAGCTTTTCTCGATTTATCAAATCATTTATCACCGTCGTTGATACGACCAAAGTCTTTAATCGTATTTTTTCATAGATCATCTATTTCCAAAAATTTATTTAAAGCGATGCTTAAAGCTGTTTGGTATGAACGATTTCTGGATTTCTCCATTATTGAAGTTAATTTAAATGATAATTATAGCAAAAACATAACCGGATATTTGCATTATTTTAATCCTTTTTTTAATACTTTCGTTAAAAAACCGTATCCTTCCGACAAAATTATTTTTATCGACAAATTGAAAAACTTGAATCAATATCCTATAATATTACTTTTATTAAACCATACTATGATATTGAAGGTCACATCTGATTCAAATGGAAAGACGAAGGTAGCTGGATTTTACCATTCTTTATTATTGACAGCATTGCATAAAATGAACTTTAAAATAGTATATTATGTTAGTCATATAGAGAGTAATATGAATACTGTTATTCTTAAACATTCGTTAAATTTATTAAAAAAGGGTTATGTAAATATGCTGTCCGTGGCGTATTCGTATGTACCATATGATTTTCCAGCAATAGATATTGGTTATGATGGTTTCGAATCTTTTGTAGCAATTGTACCAATTATAAGATATACTAATATAAAAATTCCGTATTACACTTTAATCTTATTATTTTTCATACCTATACTTATAACCTTGACTATTAATATGGCATATTGGCTAAGAATACAGAAAGAGAAAATAGATGTAATTTATGTTGCTCAAATTCTCTATGGAGTACCAGTAACAATATATCCACATAAATGGACCGATAGAATAATATTTTTTGGTATAGTTTGTATTTCAATACAATATTCTATGGACTATTTTTCAAATCTTGTGGATGATTATATGATAGATAACGAAATGTATTATAATAATTTTAAAGACATAGCTGATGCCCCATTTGACATTTATATAAATCAAATATATATAAATCGTTATCTCAGTGACAATGATAAATATATTCAAAAGATAAGAAAGAAAGTTAAATCACTAAATGATATTTATGAATGTATAAATTTGTTTAAAGCATATAAAAGTGTCATTTGTTTAACTTCTAAAATATATGCGGATTACAGCACTACTTTATATTACGACGATAATGAAAAACCAATAATGAAAATCGCTAAGCCAATATTTGCATATGAAAAATTAAGGTTCCTTTGTGAAAACTATTTACCTTATGGTGCTAAATTAAAACAGTTTTTTCAAAAGTTACATCAGGCGGGTATTTCTACCTTATTAAAACAAAGATATTTAAATAACAATCGTATTATTCCAAGGATAAAAACTAAAAAGGATTCAAAGAAACTTTTATTCCTATGTTGTTTAATATTATGTGTTGGATATGTGATCTCATTAACAGTTTTTTGTGCTGAATTAACCATAATCACGCTTAAAAATAAGATTACTGTAAGAAAAATTGTAAAATTAGAATTAAATAAAAACAAATAGTCGATGTTGAAAGCTTACATATATATATATAAGCGATTTTGAGATTTAGACATACGACGATTAATAATATAATACAGATGGACTTTTCAAACATTAAATTTTAGAAAAATATTTTAACAAGATGAATGCAAATGGTAATAATAACATCTTTAATTTAGTATCACAGCTTAATTTTTTGAATAATTATATACACATGTCAAATATTCTATTCTGTACTGACACTACAAAATAAGAAATTATATAGTTTCATGTATTGTGTTTGATAATTATTAATAATAATAAAATATGATAAACCTAAAATCATTAAAGTTATTTTATTAATGTTATAATTATAATATTTGAAATTTTAATATTTCATATTTCATTCATTGAATTATAAAATATTAAGGATTTTAAACCTTGAACAAAACAAAAATTCCAATATGTTCAATAATTTTAGAATATTAAAACTAAATATGTTATTTAACAACCAAATTCAATTATTTTGATATTATCTGTACAGAGAATATATAATCGCTCATATCATTTATTAATGATGTTAAAAAATCTTAATTTATCGAAATAAACAAATATAAATAGTTTATTATAACTTTGTTCATTTTATTATTTTGTACATATTGGACAATATTTATAGCATTTATACAACTTTTGAAAGCAGCATTTATTACGTATTTTTAATGACAAATATTGAAATTCGTAAGACAAATATTTTTTTCAAACTTAACAAATGGTATATATTTCACAATTACAACCAATGTTTTTCATATATAAGATAATGAAATATTTCATATTCTTTCAAATTTTAATCAGTAAAATATATACCCAAACTGTCAATTTTCCTATGAAATACATTAATGTGAAAAATATTTTGTATATTAATTAATTTTTTATGAATAATTTACACATATGAAACAGAATTATAAATAAAAATCGATACTGACGACATTACTATTAAAATTATCAATAATTAGAGCTAGTAATTTTATAACAAAATACAAAACTGCATTTATAATAACTTATATTATATTGCTTACAAATAGTAAATACAACGTCAAGTAAGTGGGTATTTTTATTCTGATATTTAGGACTGTTACGTTTGTTATCGTCTTGGCTTAAAAATACTTGTATGAAATACATTAGGTTCAGTCTGCTTTTGTTTCGTTGCTGATCATTTTTTTTTTTTTTTTTTTTTTATCTGAGATTCGTTAGCGTAGTATAATAATATAAACGTTAATTATAATTAAGCAATTTAAACTAAAAATAAGATATTAATCTTTATTTAAGCATATTAGCATTCTTAATAAGATTTTTCTTGAACATGTCAATGAAAAGCTTAAAATATTAAAATTGAATATATCTTTTCATATATATTTCGAATTTTTTTTTAATATATTAAAATATAGAATATGAATCTGTTTTATTCATTTAAAAAAATATCATGTTTAAAAATTATAAAGATTCAAACTATGTTAAGATCATTTTCATATCGGATTTACGGATTTTTTACGTATTAATAAAACGGTTATAAATACATTTTTTTAAATAATTTCTTATTTATTCTTCCTTATTTCTATTGTTAAATTCCTCTTATAAATGTAACAGTAGCATCCGGTTTATTTGTTTTAAAGACTAGATTTTTATAGGTTCATTAATCTTCAAAAATATCGGAACAAAAGATAAACTTTTTGTTGGAATACTAGTTTGTATAAATACAATTTGATTTTTAAAAGCAACTTTTTTATGTATTACGTAATATTTAAATAGTTTTAGGATAATAGTTCGATTTCAGATTGTATGTTTGTTCGTGCTTGTTCTTCATATTTTTCTCGAAATTCTTTCGTTGCAAAAATATTAGGTATTTGAAGAAAATTTTGTAAAACCTGTAATACAATAATTATTTTAATTATTTTTTTCAATTATACATAAATGATATTTAATTTCTAATAAAATATTATACTATAAATATTATAATATAAACATTTATCTTTACAAAGAAAATATTTATAAGTCTAAATTGTTTAAAAATCAGTAAAAAATATTTAATCGTTTACGTCACTAATTGATATTTCTGTCGAGATAATAATTTATCGAATAAAAATTTTACAATGAAATCGTTAAATGTAATGTAAAAAGAAAAAAAATTGGACTCATCACGAATAGAACTACAAAAATTGTAAATGTAAATTAATCTAGCAAATTGTTAATTTCATAATAAAATATCGCTGGTAAAGGGAATTTCCGATCAAAGAGAAATAAATGTAACCTTGAGTCTGAGGGCGGTGTACATCGGTTCGCTTAAAAACAGATATTCGCCGCGTATCTTTTCTCGGTAATTGGAGTATTTGTCAGGCTCAGCGCCTAAAATCGCCATGTCAAGGTCTAAGAGGTAATGGGCATCTTCGCCTCCGTAAGCACCGTCAACTTTATGAGCCTCAGTGCTATGTGTCGACGTAGCCTTTAATAGTACCTGGGTATCCGCCAATAGTTCCGAGTCCTTAATAAATGATCAAAATGATTAGAGTTAGACAAATGCTATGGATACTGACAGTTACGATAATAGCGATCATATGCAATTGAGAATTATATAGAAAAAATGGGGCATGTATGACAGTTAGCCAGAGACATGGAATCTCGAGGCATAGAGTTTAATAGCTTTAGGTAGTTTTACAAATTGAAGGTCAGATCAAGAATTATGAATAATTAACGGTGAGTGAATAGCTCATGGAATTCAAATGTAACAATTTCATGCGTGCATAAATGGTGTAAAAATTAATATTTATTACTCGTTATTTATATATTTGAATATTTACTTACAGCAGACATGCCAGCTTCTTTTGCGAAATTAGTAAAATGATCTAAATTTTTGTTCTCTCCATCTAACGCCTTTGGATCATATTCAAAACTGAAAATGTTTTTGTTATTACTTACTATAATTTATAATTCTTATATTGAGAATATTAATTAATAATTATAAAGAAAGTATCGATCAATCTTATAGGAAATATTTACTTAAACCTCACAATCAGAATTTTGCTTACTTTTGAAAAAAGAGAGCGAAAAGGACGGCTTTGGGATTCTTCAAATTATACTTAATATCTTGATAATGTTGAAGTTTTTCACTCAATGAGTCGAGAGTATGGTATGTGCGTTTATCTTCCGAATAATTCTCTTGAATGCGCGTCAACCACGAATCGCAGGCATTCTCCTCCAAACCCTCAGTTGCCTCTTTCCAACTTTCTTCTGATGATACCATTTCACTCGCTGTTTAAAAAGCGGTTTGAATTGTTAATTAATTAATTTAATTTAATACATTCTATTGTTAATTAATGAGGACCACTCGTGAGCTCGAACGTCCAGAGTTTGGAAACATTTAGCAAGACTTTTAAGGATATTGTTTGATATATGTTTAAAAAGTAATAAAAATATTTCTTCAAACATTTATCCATATAGAATATTATTTTATTAAAAGGTAGTTTTTTTATGATTTATATTGAAAAATAAATTTATATAAATAAAGTATATATGTAGTTGACCTACATATTTTTAATACATATTTTTAATCTTATATAAATATTTCATTTAACTTACTATTCAGCTATAATAATATGAATTATTTATATTTTATATTTGATGTTTTCGTCGAAAAACTTATTAGTTCTTGAGCAATTGTATTCAGTTCCAGTGTAAACAAGTCTATTATTATAGATCGTATGCGCAGTGGATACTTAAATTTTTTATTTTAACTTTTTTTAACTAGTCACGTAACAAATCCATTTTCATAAACATGCATAAAAAATATTTGAAAGAATAACTATTCTTGACATTTTTAATATCTTTAGCATTCTATTTTTTATCTTCGATTTATTATTGTTGAATTTCGTATATGCAAATGTCTCTTCGAGATTATTTGATTAATAATTAAATGAATCGGTAAAACTTTATTATCGATATTTTGTATAAAACTATAATGATTTGTAAAGAAATTAATAAATTAATTGAAAATGTTAACGAAAATGTAACAGTACTAAATAATGTAATCAGATCAATGAAATATATTATTTAAATTATTATAAGTCAATTCGATTATCTATTGTTGGCAAAATAAATAATTATCGGAATATTAAGTGGTTTAATGTTTATTGCGATTTATTATTTACTCCTATATTATCAAAATATCTTCAATAAATAAGGAAATACACACTTATCAATGTAATAATAAATCTATCGACATTAAATGTTAAAGAATATTTAAAAACTATGTTAAAATGTGAAAACCTAATTTCAAAAAACTATTACAAATGATCTTCTGTTGTTAACAATAAACACTCTTAACGCAATAACTTATTTTTTGTACTTACAGTTGTATGGGGAAAGAGATCTCAGTAGATTTAAAAAACAACCCCGTGAGTGAGCTATAAAGAAGAGAAATTTTCAAACGAAAAATAAAATGCTATTCTTTTAAACTCACATCATTTCACAAACAAATGTATATGTAAAGACCTTAGGAAGAGTGGTAAGAGCCATACGTGAATACGATTGTCCGAAAAGCTAAGATTTCTACTACTTATTGATTAAATTCCTTATATTTATATATAATAAGCAATACATGACACACGTATAGATAGCGCATGCGCATCTGTCGGCATAATTACCTCGTTTTACGAGGTGGTTTTAAGGATTAAAACCCAATAATGTCGTATTTTTTAATTATAAACCAACTAGGCTCAACTGAAAAAAAAATCTTGATTATATTTAATGAAGTAATAATCTTTAAAAAGAGGTCTGATATTGATATATTAAATATATTAAATTTTATTTTAAAAAGTTATTTTATTTTAAATTAAACAATTCTCTAAACGTTAGATAAATTATAAATATCTTGTAAACAGATATTTGATAGTTTAACTACGGAATAATGGTACATTACAATTCATTCTGACGATGAAATCAATATTACTGAACAGAAATTTGTAAATAATAAGATTATTTTAATATATTCAACACCTAATCTCTGCCAGTAAAGATGAATTGTTTTTGCATGCCTTAGAGATAATTTTTATTTAATATTTTTCAACATAATTCAATTCATTTGTATTTAGAAATATATATTTTCTTATTGTACAAGAATAAATTATTAAATAAAAATATGATTTACTATGTTATAAATATATTTTTGATAATGTGCATTTGCAATTTTTTTTATTATTGTTATTTTTATGCAATTTATGGTATTTATTAGATTGTATCAAATTATAATTATATATCTAAAATCTTCATCGAAATTTTATACGTAATCTTGAATTTGCCGGTTAATAAATCGCTGAAATTAGAAAATGGTGTCACTAAATTACGCTAAACGAATTATATATTTAGCAAAAAACACGTGTTAGTATTACATAATGTTATTTTCTTTGTTAACTCTATATTTATATTACTCTTATTAATGAAAGTATAGTATTAAACAATACTTATATGTAAATATTATATTACGTGAAGAATTATTACAGAAATTGGTGAGATTTTAATTCATCGTAAAATTGTAAGAAAAATGAATATATTTTATTAACGTTGAAACTGAATATAATTATCCTTTATTTCTTCATAAATAGAAATGGAATACGAAAAATTAATTTGTGATGAATTTAATAGTCCTGAAATTAAACATTGTTTGACAATAGATTTTGAGAGAATAATAAAAAGTGTAAAACTTGCAACAAAAATAAGAATTTTAGGAAATAAATTGTATACAGAATGTAAACACAATGACATAATGCATCAGAGAATTTGGGATTCTTACCTGTGTAGCATAGCATTATCGCCTAATGATTCAGAAATGCTTGCTACTTCTTATGGAAATATGTCGGCATTGATGTTTCATTTAAGCAAGTACCAAGATTGTATCAATAATATTGAAGAAGCACTAAAAATTACAGAATCAAATGCTTTAAAAGTAAAATTATTATGTCGTAAAGCTAAATGCTTAAGTGCAATGGGAATATCTGAAAAGGATAAGATTTTTGACGAAGCAAGAACATGGTTGAATAAAATTGATGATAATGACAAAATGAAAGTTGACCTGATACAATTAGTTGATAAAGCCAAAATTGTATTGGATAAAAACAAGGTGAAAGTTGAAAGGTATAAAAACAATGTATTTGGGAAGAGTATTAAATTATTTCTAAAAGTATTAAAAAATTATATATGCTTAATTTGAGATTTGTTAAAATTTGTCATAATATTACTTGATGTTAACATTTTTATTATATTTTATATCAAATTTATGAAATATATATTAATAGATCGTTTTTCAATTTAAAACATTTATAACATATTAGTTTTCAAAGTTTTATTTAACAAATCTATATCATTCATTTTAATTTATTGAATATTTAATAAGCTTAGATAAAACTCTAAATTATACTTATGTTAAAACTGTTTTAATAACATATTTTATTTAATAAAAATATATACATCTAACTTTAAATGTCTATTAATATATTCAAATAAATTTTAGGCTAACATTTTTAAACAATATTTTGTCTAACAGATTATTTAATAATGCAAAAATTCTGATGTTTTTTATTAATAATTTTAAGAACAACCAGTAATGAAAGTCATGTAGATTTTTTTAATGAAAATGAAATACTGAAGAATGTAAAAAACAAAAAAAGAAGGAAAAACAATTTGAAATTTAAACACTTAATCAATTTAGCTGTTAAAGAGACAGAAAGTGTTTTTAATTCAGTTGATTTAACGTACAATGATGAATATGGCTGGCATCTGACAGCAACTAGAGATATTCAACCCGGTGAAATTATTTTTGTTGTAAAACCATATGTAGTAGTACAAAACTTTACAAAAAGTCAAAACTTCTGTAACAATTGTTTGAATGTTATATGGACTGGTATACCTTGTAAAGCTTGCCCATGTTGTATGTTCTGTTCCAAAAAATGTCACGACGAAGCTATGGAAAAATATCACAGCATAGAGTGTCCCATTTTACAATTCGTGGTTTCAGGTGATTCTTGGTTAGACTATCACATACAAGCTAGCTTAAGAGCTGTTGTAATGGGTGTTAAGGAATTTGGCAGCATTACGAATCTTCGAGATAAAATAAATGAGTTTGATAGTTTCCCAGGTATACTTATTTAATTATATCTGAAGATATTAATTTCCATTTCTGTCAAAATTTCATACTAAAATGAAATGAAAGTAATTGAACTAAATAATGTTTAAGTCTTATTGTGCAACAAAATAATTAAAATTATTTTTTAATATTTATTTATTAATGAATTCATAATTGATAAAAACATTTTTCAAGTTTTTAATTATATTTTTAAAAATAAAATATTCTAAAATAAGTAATTGAATGTATATTTTATAATTTATTTTATATACATATGTATATATATATTTAATATTAATCATCCGTTAAAAGTTACGTATTCTATTTTACAGATGATACAGAATATAGGAACTATCATACATCTTTTATAAGCTTATTAGGTTTTAAAAATATTCATGTTGAACCTGAAATTTTAAGTGATCTTGCTGCAGCTTGTTGTAAAACAGTTATATGTTTAAGTAAATTTACATCATTCTTTAATAGTGACCGTAAATTTGATACTATTGAAAATTTTACAGAGAATGAAGATATTAAATTCATAGCTGTATTACTTTTAAAAATTGCTGTAATTATATTCAATAATGGTATCAAAGTAAGAAGTTTTAAAAATGTCTTATATATAAACATATTGTTATAGCAAGTTTGATCAAAGTAATGAAATTCTGATACAATACAAATAATCATTTGGTGTAATTGCTATAATATTGAATAGTATTTTCTATTCTAGTGAAAATAAAGACTGTCAAAAAAAAATTATAACGTTATATAATGTGTTAATATTAAAAAATTGACGGCTGTCCATTTAATTTATTGTGTTTTAATAGGTCACAGAATCTGGCTTGTTCTGTAAAACTTATGTTGATTCAGCGAAATGTTCCTCCGTTGTTCCATGCTGTGAGAAAGGAATTTCTATGAACACACTGAGTCAATTTATACCTCACAGTTGCGATCCCAATGCAAAAGCAATGAAAGTCAATAACTGTAAAGAAATCTACTATGCTTTACTACCAATAAGTGAGGGTGATCTGGTAATTATCTTGCGAAAATTTAGAAATTTACAAATACTATAACTCCAAAATTGACTTCAGATTCTGGAGTGCTACAAAAATACTTTCTATGAATGTGAATTCACCCAAAGACAGCAGGAGATATCACGGATATTAAATCGTAATTGTACCTGTTTAGCCTGTCAAGAAAACTGGCCTGCTCTGCTAATAGATGACGTAATATATGAAATTTAAAAAATTCAACAATAAATATATGTAATCATTCATTAATTTTACTTTATTACTTTGCAGGGTAAAATAATGAGCATCGAATATTTAATGAAAATAGTAATAGCGAGTCGAAAACATAATAATCAAAAACAAAAACTTTTTAATCTAATAAAAGAGCATGGTATAGCACATCAAAATATTGTAAGTGAATTGTCAAAAGCTATAAAGATAAATTATAATAATTTTGGACAACCATCTCTTCAAGTCTGTGCAGCAATTTATGCATTACACTTTGTTTTTAACGAATTATATGAAATAAAGTTAAATATGCCTAATACGTGCAAAACTGGACAAATATAAGAAATATATGCAATATATTTTTATAAATTACATTTTTTTTCTATGTAAAAATTTATATTATTAAATATTTATTTTAATTTTCAATTCTTTAGTTGTTAATTTAGTACCATTTGCAACCTTAATATAGATCTTATTTAAATATATTGAAATTAAGAAATATATTAAAAATATACAAATCAATACAAAATTATTTTTAATATCCCAGATTGAATTATTAACCCAATACTTGGGTGAAATAAATTTTGCTAACAAACAGAATTATTAATAGAAGTATAATGATTTTGGTATATGAATAATTTTTACAAATACTTTCTGAAAATTACATATATACTAAACAGGAAAAGTACATACAAAATTGTCACTATATCATTCAGTGTATATTTATCAGCTATCTATTGTATGATTAAATTATTTTTAAACATCTAAAAAATAATCTAAGTCATTCAACAAATTATAAATTATTAACATAATTACAAATTACAGTTCTTGATTTACATATAAAATTATTTTGAAAGAATAGTTTATCTAAATAAATTTTTTAACAAAAAATACAATTTTAAATTATATAACATTAATTGATATATTTCATAATGTTTTTGTCTTATTTTTTATTTTTAGTAACATCAAAAATTTTTATTTACTAAATTAATATAATTACTATTATAACAATTTTTAATAAGAAATCAATTTAACTCATAACTTAGAACATTATTATTATTTATTTTAAAAATCATTTAACATAAAGCTTCTATGCAATAAATTCTCTAGAATGAATAATATAAAAATATAATTACATAATATATAAATATAATAATATAAATATAAACACAATATATAAAAATATAATTACATAATAATTATAGAATAATATATAATATAAATATATAATAAAGGTTTTTAATTAAGAAACAATTAAGCAAACCGTAATTATAATTTTGTTATGTAGATATCTACATGCATAATCATGTCAATATTTTGCAATATTTTTATCTAAATTATAATTTTCATAAAAAAAATAAATTGTACCATTAATGTAAAACAATGTAATGTAAAAAATCTAATGAAATTTTCTTTAAATTGGTTTTTAAAAAATTATTTAAAAAATGATTAAATATATATATATATATAAAGGTTATTTATAATTATACAAGTAGATAAATGAACAATATATTTATATTTTATTTGTATTTATTTAAACTACCCTAAAATTCTAAGTATTTTTCAAAGGTTTTCTTAAAATTATTAATATTTTTTAAATATTATTAGTATTAAATTAATTTAATATAAATTAGTATATAATAATTATTATTATTATATTTATTATTTAATATTACTATTATAAATAATTAGTATTATTTTAATTATTTGGAATAATTATTCAAATTGAAAAACAGCTGCATAAATTTGAATTATTCATTATCTACAAAATTTTGTTTCATCATGAAAATATTATATTAGCGAAAGCGTTATTGATAACTTCGAACAATTTAAATTTAACTTTTGTGTTAAACTATAAAGAACACAATTTGGATGAATTAATTCGCTTACTTTTTTTATTAAACTCGTTTTCATAGGCATAATACTTAATTTGGCAACAAGATTATCAAACAACCTCGATAATATATCTCTTCAATGGTAATATTAATAGCTGCTTAGGAAAACTGAGACTTTTAATAATGATCGTAAACGTACAAAATAGCATGCAGCACTAATTACATTAATAAAAAATATAAAATAAACAAATTAATTGCAAATTGTTATTATATAGTTTTATTAATGATAAAACAAAATTTGTCAACATTTTATAAAATATAAATAAAAATTAAGGCATGGATGTAAAAATTTTATATTTGTGTTTTCCAGTTCACACATACGCAAGTATAGATTAATTATTAGTTGAATAACATTACAGTAATTTATTTCAATATTCATAATTTTAATTATTTTCTTAGTTTGATAATTATTTGTCATATATCAAAGCGAGCAAAGGTTAATAAATCATAAAATCTGAAAGTCGTCCTTGAATATTTATAAAATGTTTATTTGATTAAATATTAAAGTTGGTATTTTCAATATTTAAATCAATGTTTTGCTTTAAATGCACAACATCTACTTTTATTCTTATTTTAATTTACAATTTTTAATTTTTCGATTTTCTTACTCAATCCTTATATGAGGTAGGTACACATGCATGTGTGCGTATATATATATATATATATATATTTAGATATTTATTTAATATAATTTTATATGAATACATACACTATAATTTTATATATATACACACACACACACACACACATATATATATATATATATATATATATATATATATATATATATACATAAAGTGAGAGAGAGAGAGAGAGAAAGAGAGAGCATGCGCTACAACGCATTAGCCGTGTTCTATTTAATGTTGTACTTTTCATTGGGTCAGAAGCTAACCTTCTTACGCTTAATATAACGTTTTAATGTCATCCATCGATTAAGTTAATAAGCTGTAATTAAACATTTTATATTTATTGTTCATTGGATATAGGTAAAGTAAAAGTTGTTACGTTTATATTTAATAATATATAAGTAAACTACATTAATTATAGACTAATTTATTAGAAATATCAACATGCTACGTACTAGATTTAGAATAGTTTCTAAGTTCATTACCAGCAACAACTATTCCAGTGCTCCAGCTGAACAAAAAAAAATCATTTCTGCTAGTTTCAAGGTTCAAAATAACAAAGACTTTCTAGAACGAGTTAAAAACTCCAAAGTACCTGTTATAGTAGATTTCTTTGCGACGTAAGTTATTCAAAACTTACTCTTCAAGATACTTAAAAATTAATAATTTAATTTACATATATATCTTAGATGGTGTAATCCATGCCGTTTGTTAACACCAAGAATTGAACAACTTGTTGGAGAAAAACAAGGAAAAATTTTATTAGCTAAAGTAGATATCGATGAAAATACTGACTTGGCAATGGATTATGATGTAAATATTATATTTCTTTTAAATAACATCGTTAATAATAGTTGGTTATAAAATAAATTAATATCTTATATTTTATTGCTTCAATAAATAATATAAGTATGGATTACAGATTGCTTCGGTTCCTGTACTTATGGTTATGAAAGATGGAAAAGTAATGGAGAGATTGATTGGATTACAAGATATCGATAAACTTAAGAAATTTATAAACAAACATGCAAATTAAATTTTTGTAGTATATTATAAATTATAAATATATACATTTATTAATGTATATATACAATGTTGAAAATTTTAGCGGTTAACTGATTTTATTTCAAAATATAAAATCAATCATTAAAGAAGTTTCATTAGTAAAATATGTACAATAAAATTTTATGTTTCAATGGGTAAAGTTTGTAGTAATTGTCTTGCTCTTTTGTACTCTATAGTTTCTTCAATTTCATCATTTTTAATCTTATCTTCTAATTTTTTTACAACTTCCATTGCTTTGTTGACTAATTGTTTTTTTGCTGATCCTACACACCCTTCAAAATATTCTAAAATTATAGTAAAACTTTTATCTGGAACATATTTGACATTTAATAAATTATCCATTAGCCAAATTTGTTTAAGTTTCTCAAATTTCCATTCATTTCTTACATGTTTCCACTAAATAATAAAATATAAATTATGAAAAATATTTTACATATTAATTTATAATTTTTAATAAACAAAAATAGTTACTTGTGAAACGTAGTTTAAAGCCTTTTGAGCAATTACTTGTTTATTGGCTTCTTTTGCTTCTAAAGCACGAACTTCTGCTTTTTCTTTTTTTAATTGCCTTTTTGAAGGTTCATTCTTTTTAACATCTGTATTGTCCTTGTCAACTTTTTCTTCATTTGATTGAGTAATATTACTTCTACTAATTATATTATATTTAAATATATTTTGTAAACATTGTAAGAAAGAAATAGTTACATAAATTTTAATTTAGTGAAAAATAATTACTTTTCCGTTGTTTGTATCAAAATATCTTTTTTCTTCTTCGTATTTTTCAATATTGGCTTCTTTTTTATGATTTTTTCATTGTGTTCGACAGATCTTTTAATTCCTTTTTCTTTATCCTCATCTATAACTAATTAAAAATTAAAAAAAAGAATATAAGTAGCAATGTAATTTGTAATTAATAAAATTTATTACACATTGCATACTAATATTTATGTTTTATTAAACATTGATTATACACTGCATATATTAGAAAGATTTGTTTGACTTTTTTTACAGAATTATAATACAATAAATACTAATATTCTAAATTATAAGTCGTAAGTAAAAAAATATAAATTTCATACATTAAGTAAATGAATTTACTTGATTTTACATAACCTACAATTATTTCACATTATTTTAAAATTTACAATTATTATAAAATTTTTAAATATTACAAATTTCAATTTACTTTTTTTCGTCCCATTTTTTATATTTCTGATATTCTGTTTCATAATATTAGACTTAATATTATTACTTTAACATACTATATGACTCGTATAATAAATGCAACTATTAATATTATACAATACAGAGATAGGGTTAACCGAAACCAGTGTTGTGCCCATGTGTATATTGTGTAATAGGAAAGTCAGAGATTAAAGAAACTAATTAAAATTTTGATTCTTTCTTTGTTGAATTAATATACTGTATTAAATGCTTTAAAATTACTTCTTTGTGCAATTGGAATTAGCATTGATAACAAATTTTGTTAAAATAGAATTGTAATTATTTATATCGGAATTATTACTTTGAATCGGTTAATAATTCTTAAGAAGTCTTCGAAGTGTAAAATAATAATGTTGTTGCCTAGATTAAGATTTGTTGTATCGAGTGCATGTAAAATAAATCGGTAAATAATTGAATTTATTTAAATATTTATTTTCACTAATTGCCTTTGAAAATTGAAGTGTAACCACGTCTATCTGAGATATTTTTTGTTTTAATTAAATTTATTAACTTTTAAAACTAAATACACAAATTATAATTATAATTAATGAGATCTGTTATTTTATAGAAAAACTTTCCTATTATTCCAAAAGGGTTTTAAAAATACTTCTACGATTGGGCAAGCTGATCTCAATGACAAACCTATTTCTTATTCAAAATCACAAGCTGCTGCATGGAAAGCATTGTATAACCGTGAAACGCCAAATGACACCGTTTGGTACAGTCCGCTCATAGTTTCAGCAAGTTTAACAATCTTTTTAATATATTTCTGTTTACTAAGAGAAGAAAATGATATAGATGAAATAATTTATCGACCATTATCAAAAACTATAAAAGATATTGATAAAAAGTTTCCTGAATATTCCTATAGCCAACTAGATCATATAAATTCTAACGAAAAACATTTAAAAAGTGAAAAAGAAAATAATTAATGATTTTTGCATGAAGTAAAGAAGGTATAAAAAGGAATAATATAATTTTAACAAAATTTTTAAACTAATTGTATGTTTTTTCTATTTTATATAAATTAGTTATGGAATAATCAATTTGTACATATACATTTTTTCTGTATAATAAAAATATTTTATTTACAAATTCTGTTTTTTAATTCTTTATATTAAAACAAAGTTGTATTAATATAATTTAAACTTCAGCTCATCAAACATTTGATGTAAGGTAATTTTTATTTAATATAATGGAGTTACTTAAAAAATAAATTAATATAATTATAAATACTTATTAGAACGGATAAAGTAATTGTCCCCAAAATATATTACTGGCTATTTTACTCCATTCTATAGGTGGATGAATATTAATAGTATCAGGAATTGATTTTTTCCAAGTCTCACTCCAAGGTGCAATAATAGTTTTTGTTTTCAACATTATTGGCCCTTTAGCTTGCCTATTCATTAATTTAATTCCAATTGAACCTAAGAGAATTTAGTTGATTGATAAAAACTAAATATAGAGTGTACATAAGATAAAAGATTACCAGTTGCATCAGCAGTGCAAAACAGCCATCGAAGAAAGCCATAGATAGGTATAATTTGCATATAAAATTTTAATCTTGTTAAAAAACCATCAAGACCAATCATTGTAAGTCTAAGCTGTGAAAATATGTTAAAAAGCATAAAATAAGGAGATAATTTATGTGATTCAAATTTATTATGCAAAAATGATTTACTGTTGTGAAAACAATGTAATAAACCCATGTAGTTGGCATTAAAAATAAAAGAATTGTAAAGAGTAGAGTACCAACAAATAGCTGATCCGGTTGATATCGACAAGAATCAACTCTTTTTCTTAAAGGATTTTTTTTTTTCCCAAGAAACAAACGAAAAAGTGCTATTAGTCCACTAATTTGTATATTAAACAACCTGTTAAAAATTAAAAGATTAATTCAAGATCTCAATAATAATGGTAAATAAAAATTAAACAAAAGATTTTTTTACCTTGCAGCATAAATGTAAATGCAATAAGTATGAAAACTTATAAGAGCAAAGAGATCAGCAATGATAGAAATTTGAAAAGTAATACCTAATCTACCAATGAATAAAAGAACTTCAAAAGCTAATTCCATCAGTGGCTTTGAAACTATAAGAAAAGATGACCAAAGATGAATATGATAAAGAAAAAATTTTCCAAGTATGTTGTTGAAAGAATGATTTAACTTTAAACCAGCTGGTGATCCCATAAGCCAATTTACAAGTTCTTTTAAAGATTCTACCACTTTCTAAAATTACATAAATTATTTACTAATGTTTATTACATAAATTATAATACCATAAACAGTATAATTAAAATAATTAAAATCTTACCTCAGCATAAAAAAGTAATACTTCAGACGGAGAAGAATCACTAAGAAAATTAAGAAGTAATTTTAATAATAAAAGACCTAATAAGATATCTATAATCACAGCTATAATATAGTTAATTATCTTTAATGTAAATCTTTTCCCTTCTAAAAGTGTTGATAAAGTCCATTGGGCAGTTTTAAGCCAAGACATTATGTGCAAGCCTAAAGATGAATACTTTAAAATGGGACTGATTTTACTAGTAATTCTATAAATCCAGGTTGTAGGATAAAGAAAAGTAAGCACAACTATAATGAAAATTGAGTTTTTAATACGTGCAAACCAGTCAATCTGCAATTTATCATGATTTCTTTGTATAGACTCTTTATTGAGAATAGTCCTTAATTCTGAAAAATTATCTTGTAGACTTTTGTCAATATATAATTCTGCTCTTAATATAGAACACTTGTCATATAATATAATGACTGTATGACAACCAAATGGAAGTATTTTCTGATTTTGTATCATAATATTGCATATACCATACTCATAATTTAAATTATAGTAAGATAAAACATATAATTCTATCCAGTTTGGAAGTTTTTTATCACAGTATTCGTTCTTAATTTCAGTTCCATAAAAATAACCAAGAGTTACAAGGGTATTACTAGATTCAGTATTACTTTTATTTAGTTTCGTTAAACCAAGAACATAAAACTTGCTAATATCTTTATCATTGTCATGTACAACATTACCATATATATATCCTGGTTGCTTCATATAAAATTTTTCTGGTATAAAAATAATTAATGTCTTCATTATTTCTTAAATCTAAAAAATAAAAGAATTGATATCAATGTTATTTTTATATTTTAACTAGCTGTGTATAAAAATATTTTGATAGCAAATAAAAAAATATTCTTAAAACTATCTCCAAAAATATTAAATGATTTTTATTATAATTTAATATAATGTATAAATATTCATTTTACATTTATTGTACACGAATATATTTAATATATATATATATATTCATTATAAAATATTTTTAACATAGACGTTTAATCCTAAAGTATTATAAATTAGATTATAATATGAAATATATATTTTATTATCAAGTCATCAATAAGTATTTTGAAAAAATTTTTCCTAGTTTTCAACAAATATCAAACTTCATTCTAAGTGCTATACTATTGCCAAATTTTTCGAAATTGTGCTTCTAATTGAAACAATTTGAAGAAAAACTGAAACTAACAAATAAATATGATAAATAAAAATATACAATGTATATAAATTCAATTTTATGTCCATCCGATACGTATTATATAATTATTCATTTTATTTTTATTTAAACAATTTTTTTATAATTTTGTTTACTATACTAACTTATTTTTAATCTATGACATAAAGTCTATTTTAATTAACAATGTTTATCTTGAATTGATAAAAATTTCATTCCTGTTGGTAACATAACCACAAAAAAGTGATCAGCTGTTTAATACTCCACTCTACGCGATAAGCTGATATAAACTGATAGACAAAGACACATGGCATGAGGTTACAACCAAAAATATCCACGTATGCCAATACGTGTCACCCGGTGTTTCTCGTTATTGTCGTCGCTTTATCATTAATCAAATTATAAGAAAGAGAAGTTAAAATTTTATTTTGCATTGAACGAAAGGAAGATCAAAATTTGTTTAAAAAATTGTACATTTTCCGTATGATTAGGTAACTATTTATGCTATTCCACTATTTCCCCTAATGATTAATTTAAAATATATATTTTACTTGTGTTATGCTAATGTTCTATTGTACATTAATTGGCACAGATTATATCTAAAGAATTCATAATGGATTTTATATTCTTTTATAATTTGATAAACTTTTATTGAATTTATTTAATTCTATGTGGAATTATAAATGTGCATTATATTTAATTACTCTCTTTTTTATTATCCTATAATTAAAATATAATGGTCAATTTCATTAAAAATCATGTTTCTACTAAATTATTAAAATATAAGTAGTTTTAAGATTTTTTCATTCTTTTTAATAAAATGTAGATTAGTTAAATGAGCTCAAATAAAAATAAACTTAATAAGTTTTTTAGTAAATCAACAATAATGAATTTATTGTACAATAATTGATTTAATATACAGAGACAATGAGGTATAAACTAGGAGACATTATGAGACTTTGATGAGTAGATTATGAACTTCTTTATTGAATGGGTCTGAAATCTCTGTTGGCTGATAATGTTCAACAAAGATGGCCGAGAATCAAATGAGTCAACAGATACATTAAATGATGCAGAGGAGTTACAGCAATGCGAGTCTGTCAGTCAGTTACAAAAGAGTTTTGACAAAAAGATAGAGGTTCAAATCGATAGTGAAAAGCCCAATATCAAAACCAAATTATCTTGCAAAATGTTTATGTATGCCAGAGAAACTATATATTTTTGTCTTGCATTGGCCTTTACATCATTGGCCGTCTTACATACCCTGTGAGCTTCTATTTTCTGTAGACAAAAGAATTTTTGCAAATCTTTTATATATTTATATTGCATTTTGTAGACCACCAAGAATTTCAAAGCCACCAATTGCAAGACCTTTTTTCAATGAAAGTTCTATAATTCTAGATTTTTATAAAGGACATTTAAGTGCTTTAATCGATAGAGTGCGAGATTCAGACTTTAGTTTTGTGATGTATTATGCTCCATGGGATGCCGAATGCCAAGCTATAAAACAGGAATTTGAAAATGCTGCTTGGTACTATCATTCACAAGTAAGATTTATCAAAAAAATTATAGGCTTCAACTAGTGTATTGTTGTATATAAAATAATTGCAAAAAATGGATATGAGTAAACTAAATTAATAAAAAATTAATATTTAAATCATAAAATTATTGCCAGGTATTTTTTGCTGCTATTAATTGTTGGCATCCAGGTTCTGAATGCAGAACTCAATATAATAAAATTATACAGAGTTATCCAGTATTGATGATATATCCTTCAAGAGAATCTGGTATTCAGTATAAAGGTATTAAAAGTGCTGCTTACATGATACGCTTTATTCATTCTTTTATGAATCCAATAACTAGAATCACTAGTAATGTGCAACTAATGGAGCTCTTAAAATCATACGATGTAAGAAATATTAGTACCTTTTAATTTTGAATAAATCAGTAAAATTTTAGTCAAACAATTGTAGTAAAAACTAATGATACATCATTTTATTTTTTATAGGCTGTTATGATTGGATATTTTAATTTTGCTGGTTTAACCAAGACACCTGGTTATAGAGAATTCTATAGGACAGCTCTAAGAACTCTTGAGAGAGATCCTAATGGAGAAATAGTATTTGTTGCTATAACAAGTCCAAATACTGCTAAAAAGCATGGAATTACACATTTCCCTTCGGCTAGCTTATTAATGTGGAATGAAACTTTAGTAATACTTTTTTTTTCTGATTTATTTGTCAATTTATTTTTATTTAAAAAATAATCAATATTTTGTAAAATACGTATATTACCTTCTTTAATAGCTTAACATCACTTAGTACTCCAAGTAATTTATAATGTTTTAATTTGAATTTTTAATTTTCAGTTTTATCCCGAAGGTAATGATTGGACAGCTGAAGTTTTATTTAATTGGATTAACAATGTTGTCCATAGTGTTGTTACTTGGATACAACCTCCAGGTAGTAAATCGTTCACGTTTGCTCAATACTTATGGGATGGACCTGTTCTATTTCTATTTACACCAAGGAATCCCTTACATTTTGCAAATGATAATTACAATTTGGTAAATTACATTTTTTATTTCTTATTTACATTCAATTAACTTTCAAAAGAAGAAAAACTGTTATAATTTGTTTGCTTATGTATAATTTTAAGTATAAAACAATGGTGAAATATTCGTTTTTTGATAATTAATTATATAATAGAATTATAAAATTTAAACATACTTTTAAATTTATCGATTTAATTTAAAAAAAAAAAGACTTTTGTATTAAATATCAAAATCTAATAATCTAAACAGTTAAATTATCAATATATACTATTTTATTGTATATTAATGTATACTATTGTACTGTAGACCGTTTATTATTTGTTTTCAGTTAAAAGAAATAGGATTACAATACTATGATTGCTTTGGAAATTTTCAAATAGAAGACATAGTTGTCCGTTTACGCCAAAGTCGTTTAGACGCTGCCTCCAAAGCTATTGAAAAACGAAAACGATGCATAACTATGCTTGAAAAGGAAAAGATCAAAGAAAGCATATTAAGTGGTCAGATAATTATTTAATATTTAATTTTACTCTATACTACAACAATCTGTTAAGAATTAATTGTTCAGCATAGAGATTTAAAAAATTTATTTCTACATTTATAATTTTTACTATTATTATCTTTAATTATAATTCATGTAGTGTTACAAAAATTAGTTTAATTCCTTGTTCTGATTTAATGATATTCTAAATTTGTACAGTTATGTACAGTTTCAATTCTAATTGTACTATATAATAAACCAAATACTCTGTTAATCATAATCAATATAATAAAGAAAGAAATGTGTATAAGTGTGTGTCAAAAACTACACCAAGTCAAGTCTTGAGAGTACATTTAATTATTTGATTGACAATTCCTCTAGATCACGATGCAACGTTACATAAGTGGACAATCAAGACCCCACACTGTTGTTCAGGAACACCGACGAATAAGGGCATACTGTGCACAAATCGAATTGATGGCCTCGAGAATGTTTGCGTGGCCCCAAGTGCTGCCTGTCGTAACCTCGATATCTTCGGTCTCAAGGAATATTTTAACGACCTGTACGTTTCCACGAGTAAGGAATCCAATTTCAATGGCCACTGTTCAGACGACAGGTAACGTTGCCTTCATTTCCTAAATAAATTAAACAGTAAACCAACCAAGTATAAACATGGAAATATTCAAAGTAAAATTTAATTCTAATTTTTTCATTCGCATTATTTATTATCATTAAATTATTTTCTTATATATACTGGGAGTTAATATATTAGTCATGTGAAGGTTTAGCCATACGAATAGTTTACTGTATTTTTGTTTTTTTTTAATAAAAGGACGCAAGATTATTATAAAGGTATAACAAATGTCAAAATAATTATTTCAGCTGTGATTCAAGCGTAAAATTGAATGAAGAAATCGACTCCCAATCTGCTTCAGCAGTCAAAAAGGCATTTTATAAAAATGATTGTAAAAAATATTTGGCCGGTTATAATTATCATCATCCGGTCTTTCCCAGAGACCCCGATGACGAGAGTAACGTGGAACTAAAACTCACTGAATTGATCTGTAAAATCAACAAGACTCTGGCACTTGTTGCCATCGATAGCTTACAGTACTTCTATTTTGCTGAGAGTCTTGGCATTAATCTAGCCAACATCACCGATAAGACGTCTGCTATAATTTTAGATCCCGATGTGAGCTATTACATTGATATAATGATTTATATCTATTTACTAAATAAGCAATTGAAGATTATCTTTGACAATTGAATCTCTTCACACTATCAGTCACGAATTGAAAATCTTTGATCATTGAATAAGAACTTATTAATTGAATTTTATTATGAAATAATTTTAAAGCGATAGTTTAAAACAATCCAATATCATTATTATCATTAGGTTATTATAATATGCCGATCGTTTATTCTATTGTATGATAACATTTAATGAGTTTTTATTAATAATTTTGGTAGGATGAAAGTCAATTTGTTATGGAAGAAGAATTCAGTAGAAATGCACTTGTGCGCTTCATAAATAATTATACAAATGGTTATCTAAGAAGGACAATGCGTTCTAAAAATAGAAAGCACCTTGTAAATACGTTAACAAAGCAACACGCAAAGTGCAAAGAGAAGTCCAAAATTTGTGTTCCAGAACTCTCTACAGATACCTTTTTAAATATTGTTCTTAATCCAGATAAGGTTTGTATATGCAATAGCTTTTTATTATTTAATCTATTTACTTTCTTGCATATTGTTATAAATCATTTACTTTCTTGTAACGAGTGCAAATAAAAATTTAACATTTGAATATATATAATATACCTATGAATTACTGATTCAAAATTTAATTGAATATATTTCTTTCACCATTTAATTAATTTAATTGCTTTCTATATTATTAATATTATTATTAGTATTATTATTAAAATAATAATAATTGATCATTCAAATGTTTTTTTGCACAGGATGTTGTTATTATGTATCACTCGTCATATTGCGCCTTTTGTAGTGTAGTTACATATGTATATTTAACGGTGGCACATTACCTATCAATGATGGATCATTTAGAATTTGTTCGCATTGATGGTGATAATAATGATCTACCTTGGGAATATACAATGAATCGATATCCATCTATATTGTTCTTTCCTGCTAAAAGGTAAAAAATTTTCAAGTTCGAACTTATTACATGCTTGTAATATTGTTCTTATAAAATCCTTTTACTTTTCTTTATCTTTATATAATATAATTAACAGTTGAATTATGTCAAAATTTGTATGAACTAGTAGAGGTAAACGAAGTTCTTAATAAACTATACCTACATTAAATCAAGTGGTGAATATTATTTACTTAATGTCAAAATCATTAATAAATAAATATGTTGCAAATCTCGTAAACAAATCTTAAAAGTATCATCTTATAATTAAAAATAATATCGTATGTAAACATGCCATAAAATACAAACGAGATACATAAATTTATAAAATGAAACAACCGTTTAAAATACTTTTTCTAAATAATCACGAAATATTATAAAAATAATAAAAAAATTAATAAATAAAAATGATCAATCTGCTTTTATAAAGCCATAATTGTTCATTGTAATAAATAATTATATATTTTTCTGTATGCACAATTATTTATCACTTTTATAAACATAAATATAATTGATTAATATAATATATAGTAAATACTAATATAATTACTATCTACTAATATAACTTAATATTAATACTAATATAACTTAATATTTACGGTATTATTATATCTAAATAATCATAAAATTTTATATTTAAAATTTTTTAATTTTCATTTTGTAATCTTCAAATTTCACGATTATAATCAACATATAATAATAAACATATAAAATAAATAAATAAACAAATAAATAAATAATAGAGAAAAAACCTGGATTAGTTTTTCATAAGCTTCGCAAATCGAAATAATTAATTATCAAGTCATAATAATAATGGTTACTTCTTTTATTGCAGAAAAGAAGACAGTACGCTATTTCCATGGACATTACCGGTCTCGGTGGGTAATCTCCTGAGCTTCGTTCTCGCAAATCTCGATGAAGAGTCACATATTGAGGCGTTGATTAATGTGTGCGCATCCGGTATCGAGCACTCGCCTACCTCGTGTTTATCGCGCGTCCGCTCCTTATGCCTGGACATCCTCGAAGACCATCTACGTGACTTCAGATGGTTGCGTCGCACAAGAACCACTAAAAGCGTTCGGCATATCTTTGATGCACGTAAACGCATTTTGTTGCTAAAACTCCAGCATGTAAGGGAGCTTCATCTTGTGCTCAGCAATACGAGTAACCTAGTGAAGGAAAAGGAAAAGGTATCGAACTTCTAAATTAAAACAATTGTTTTTCATTACAATTGCTGTAGTTCATAGAGAGAATTATTGGCATTAACATTATTATTAAAAAAGATTCAATAGATTATTGTCATATAGATTGAATTATAAATGTAAATGAAATTTAATGATTATTAATCGCTTGCAATTTTCTAATGAACCGAAATTGTCGTTAAACATTTTAAAAACATTGATAAAAAAATTAATTGTATAATATTATGTTTTATATTTTATATTTTATTAATTCAATATTAAAATTTAATGTAAATTTATAGCCTATTTTCAACTGTTTTAACTGTTTTTTAAAAATGCTTTTCATAAATTATTATTCTTTTTATGTGTTTATAGGTACAGATGCTGAGAAAAAAATTTAAAAAGTTTTATGTAAAATTGGCAAATCTTTGGCGCGACGATAGCATATTAAAAAATCCCTCTCTAAAATCTGCAAGAAATAAGGTAGAACAGAACGGTTCGTGATACTATCCATTTTGTAATTTCCTGAAAGGAATTGAAAAATTGCATTTATTATGCATGAAATTTATGTAAATTAACTATTTTTATTTATATGTGGGCAATTAATTATATAAAAATTATATATTTAAAATATATACTCAGCTGAATTGAGTAATTGAGTTTAAAACTGCATTTTTAAAGTAATATTAAATAATATTCGAGTCTAAATAATTATGTTATTTTAATAAAATCACAAACTACTGTTAATATTAAATTGTATAGTGAGTACATTTTAAAACTTACAATTAAGAAAGAATATAGAAGAACTTGGACCAAAGTAGTTCAATTCCAGATTTTCAAATTATTAGAGGACCATAATTTTGATTGTTTTGATTATTCGTACGTATAAAAAACATATTTCACTCCTCTTTTATTAAAAGGAGCAAATATTTTGTAAAATTTTAAAATTTTATGATTTTGTTAGTAAAATTAAAGAAAAATGTAAAAAATACATTAATGAAAGGAAATTTCATGCATTTCATGATTTTTTAGAGTGATAATTTCTAAGTAATTTTATAAATTAAAAGATCAAGTAAATGAAAATAAAATAAAGTAAGAATTATATTAAATTTTATAAAATATAAGTAGTTACTAAATATTAAAAAAATGTTTAATCATATCATTGATGAAGAGACAACAAAAGACGATATTAATTAGTAAGCTTTTAGCAATTTTCATTACATTTGACCAATGATTTATATATAATGAATTCGATTATTTTAATAATTTCTTAATTATTATTATTTTTTTTTTTATTATTATTAATTATTAATTATTGTTATTATTATTATTATTATTATTGTAATTTAAACATAGGAAAAATAATTGAAATTTTAAACTGTTGAGTACAAATATTTAAAATTATTCAACTAATATCGGAAACTACTGTTTTATAAAATTAAACATTTCATAAAAGAGAACAACTTGTCTTAAAATGTCTCGAATTAATACCTTCTTTTACATTTCTTTCTTCAATATCGAGTCGTTCGAATATAATAAAATCTTGTAGGTACGATATTAATCTGAGATCCAAGCAAGATGGGATCTTTAATCTTTGTGCTGGCATACAAATAGAAGATCAAAATTCTTGAAGGTACAAACAATTTATTAGCGAAGCTCTTATTATAATGTTTCTATATCATTTTCATTAAAGAGCCTTAGTTTAAATTAAAAAATTAAATTAAATTAAAAATTAAAAAAAAATTAAAAAACTTAGCCATCGTTGCCTTTGTTCGTTAGTCATTGAGCCGTTAAACAATTCTAACGCCACGTTCGGCGAAGCCTCATATAATCTCGTATCACTTTCTGTTTCCTTGTTCCTTTTAACACACCGATGATATTCGCATGAGCGCGAATTGCTCGCATATGCGTGGATATGTGTGAGTGCGTAAGTGCATACATGCCAAGAGAAAACTAATGAATGAGAGGATGCGTAAGAGCGTGTGTATATAAAATTATGGTGGGAGGTGATAGAGAGGGAGCCAATGGTTAGATCAGAATTGCATTTCCGAATGTACGCAGTAAATATTCTAAGTAAAAATTCTAGCCTTAAACTTACGTTTTATACTTTGGTTGTTTAAAAATTTTTAATGTTAAAATATGCTGAAACAGAATTTATCAATATATAATATTATTATAAAGTAATACATTCAGCTGTTTGAAATAGGCGTACATTTCGTAAAAGCTTACCTTGTCTACGAATAAATTATGTATAATTCTTGTTGAAAACTATATAATGTTACACGTGCGACTGCGTACACATACATACACTCATATATACAAGTATAGCTAATTTTTATTGTTAAACGATTTATCGTTATTTTGTTTTTTTTTTTTAAGTATTTCTGTTTGAAATGCAAACAAATTACAAAAATTATAGTCGATTCATTTAGCATAAATTCAAATTTGAGAAAATGTCAACTATTGCAAAATAACATTAATTTATTTGCACATTAGAGTAATTCATTTATATGTATTTTCATATTTATGAAGTAGGAATTTTTAAATTTTTATATTCAAATTCACCTTTTCTTTGTATATTTGGAATTATTTAAAAAACTTAATGCCAATTATGAAAAAACCAATACTAATCGCTAGTACTTATAAAAAAAATATATTAATTTATACTCGATTCAAAGTAAATCTTTAATCAGAAAAAATAGAAAACACTTGTTATCTATAAATTGTTGTATTGTGTAAAATTATTTACTTCGAATTGAAAATTTGTTTGTTTTATCTACAACTAATGTTCAATATATTATTAATCAATCCCGCTATATATATATATATATATATATATATATATATATATATATATATATAAACAACGTAATTGCTACTATTGCAGCAATGCGACATATAAAACATTGAAAGATGCAGTGTATAACAAATTAATAAAAATAGAACTGCGTTTAAAAAGTGTTTGAATTCATGATTTTATTATAAAGTTGTAATCATATCATTTATCATTAAAATAAGTTTAGAAGATGTTATTTCATACTGAAGCACGTTGTCTTCATTAATATATATGTCACCGTTATACTTTATTCGAACACAATTACACTGTTGAAAAAGAATTTCTTAAAATTTAATACAATTTAATATAACGGGAGAGTTACTTCGTGTCTCTTAAAACAAGACAATTATGAATTTTAAGTACCCATAAAAATGATAAAATACATTACAAAATAAACATTAATTCGAAAACTTTTACAGGCTGGAATTTAAGAAATCAAAAATTTTACTTTGACAATTAGCTGCTAAATATTTTTGCTATATAATGATTTATGAAATTCGGATAAAGTCGCGGGCTCAAGTAGGCAGCAAGCAAAAGCTCTCGAAAGAGCTTTGAAATATTGGAAAGTACTCGCATACGAAGTCCTTCCATATTCGGCAAGACTTTAACCCCTCGTCCGCTTTTAGAATTCGCGACGCTTGCGAAGATTATAAAAGAAAAGCGTTCACTCCGATCGGGAGCGAACGAGATCGGAAACACTATCAGCGGCCTCGGTTGCTCGGGTATCTCGGCCGGAGCAGCGCCTCGGGCGCGTGGGAGTGGCATTATTCACGTTTTTCCCAGGCGAGATAGGCACACTCGGACCGATGACGAGATGCGAGCGACGCGACGCCGGGTGTGGTTTTACTATTTCTGGACGCGGCGCCGACGGCGACGAGCGTCACGCGAGTGTCATCCGCAACGCTGATAATAGTGTGTGCGCGCGCGCGCGCTGCTGTACAGCCTTTGCCTCTCTATTCTCGCTTATTGACATTGTTTAACTCTTGAGCCCCGGTACGTAAATTTCATCGTCGCTCGATTTAACTTCGGGTACTTTTTATCGCGCTAAGGCATTTCGATGAGTCACTTTCTATTGCAATACTGGAATTTAACCGATCTGACGTAATAATGGGTCAACCTCAAAGCTTTTTCTCTCATCAAAAATAGACCAAACAAAGTGAGCGTGATAAGTTTACTTATGATGAATGCCAAGTTTTTATAATAGCTGCAAGCACTTTAATTTTTTGAATAAAAAAAGTCGATCAATGCTCATTTTTCTTTAGATATTTTGCTTTATTTTAATTCAATTTTTAATCATACAACACATAATATCGACTCTTTATTATTAATGTTACAATGGATGAGAGAAATTTCTATATATAAATAATATTCATGTCTAAATTTTCAAAATTTACAAGTTTTATAAAAATTTGTACAAAAAAATAATATTGTCGATAGTGTGGTTATGCGTGCGCGTGCATGTGTGTGTATGAACGATAATCAATTATGTATATTTTCTTATGCATACGTAATTTTACAAATACATAATCTTTGATTATTCCGAGTTTTTAAAAAAGTTTAATTTTAGATTTCAAAATATTTAATATTGTTAGTTAAAATTTAATTGACAAATTATGATTTATTATTAGTGTTCAAATGTAAACTTCACCAGTGTTGACGTATAATCACTTAAAATGTTCGCATTCCCTATTACCCTAAGGGCAACAATTATCATATTTTCACAGAAATTATATTATCATTATTTAAGATTAAAATTTATATGTAAATGTTTTTCTTTACCTAATGTATTAAACGTAATATTCACACTAATAAAAAGAATGATTATTTTATATACATTGAAATAAATTTTTGCAATTTAATTTCTAAACGTGCATCATTTGTTGAATGAAAAACAATTATAGATTATAAACGCCAAGAGTAATTGTTACTTTTTATTTGATACGAGCAGCTTGCAATTATTATCAATATCATAAGTACAAATTAAATGCTAATTTCAATCAATTAATTATTTTTGAATGGAAATTCATAGATTATAAGAAGTGGCAAGTGGAATAATGGAAAATGGAAATAAATGAATGAATAATACTTATGTCATTTATTCTCGATAAAGTCACTATTTATTGACTTTAATTGCAATAAGCATGTAGCTATATTTAACGGTAAGAATAATTTAACAAACAATAATTTAAATATTAGATGATGATTATGATTTAGCTATTAGATGATGATTATATTGTATATTAGTTGTTATATTTATTGTATTTATAATGTAAGTAAAAATTGTCTACAAGAAAAAGGAACAAAGGAAAGTCATACTTATGTAGGATAATATTCAGAAAAAGAATTTGCTTTAAAAAAATTAATAAATTACTATTGTTGTATACATTAAATTGATAATTTGAAGTATATGTACACGAGACACTTGTAAATAGTGTATACGGATATTGCGAAACTGCGTGTCAATAATCGATTAATGTAACTTCAGATGCTATTTTTATAATAATAAAATGAGAGAAAAAAATTAACGAAAAATTCTAGTCAAATCTTTTATTCATAGAATTTAATATTTTATTTTGCTTATAATTAAAATTTTTCTCACCATTGTTTAATGTACCAAATATCCAATACTCATAAGTAATGTCAATACAAAATATAATATATATCCTACATAGAAAATAATAAATAATAATTATAAGATATCAAATTTTATTCCATAAATATTTATTAATAATTTCCATGCTCGTATATTTCGCATATTCGTAAATTGATCTATTGTTATTTATTATACTTCAACTAATGCAAATTCAATGATAACATTATAAAAGTTTTTTCGATTTAAGGATTATATTTTATAAATATTATTATCAATTGTGAATTATTATTTAAAAGGTGTTATTTAAAGATTTTTATTTATGGCGCATATTTAATAAACTACGGTATTCAATTGAAAAGAAAAACTGGATAATTTATTGGTTGGAATGTTATAAATTTTTCAAAACGTGACCATTGAATTCCTTGTATACATTTGTTCCTAAAATATAAATATCTATTTTCTTCAAAAAAAAGCTAAAACTTATTTCCAAAGTTAAGTTGAGCGATCAAATGCGTGTGTAATATTCGATACTTAGATTTTTAAATCAATTTTCCATAAAAACCTATTATTTTAACCTATACAATTAATTAATTTAACAAAAAACTTATTTTTATTGAAAAATTATAACAAATTTATTAGCTATACGATCAACAATGAAGAAATGTTTCATACAACAATTAACTACTTTCAATCTCGATGACGACATAGTCACACTAGATAAATTTTTTATTTAAAATCACTGCATTGAATGTAGGTCGATTTATTACCCAGTTTCAATCGGATATTTTTGCAAGATATAGTGTTAAATTACTATTTGAATGTAGTAATTTTCATATCGTTTTAATACTTCTGGAAAGGGCAGAGCTTGTAGCCATTTACACTTTTATATAGCTATAAAATAAGTTCTAAAGTATACTTTTACCATACAAGTGTTATCAAGGGCGGCAATGTGCATAGACAAATTAGGTGATTTTTCTCTTACCACGCCGGTTTTGTATAAAATTGCGCATTGCATTGCAATAATCTGGAAATCATTTGAATTTAGTATTGAGATTTTTCAACAATTAATTATACTAATAAATAATAAAATTCTTGTTATTTTCGTGAAATTAGAAGACGAAGAAAATTAACATTTCATGAATTTAATATTTTAATTCAATTTTCAAATTATTATTTACTATTCTGAAAATCGAATAGTATTAATAATTTCTTTTTTATAATTTTTTATAATACATATAATTTTAAATATTAATTACAGATACATAAATATAAATTGTACTCTATATTGCTCAGTAACTATTATCGTCGTTAAGCATTCAATATTGTTAGTATTTGAATGTAGGCCTGATTAACTAGCTGCAAAGAATTATAGTTGTACATCTATTAAATAGAAGCAATATAATTAAATAATTGTGTATATAGTGTAAGTGTCCCGTCAAAAGGAAAATTTTATATATTACATGTAGTAGAATTTTTAACGAACACGTATATTAAAATGCGTTTATTGCGGCAAAATCACGGAAAGATGTGATATTTTGTTTATGGTGATTTAAATGATTATCTAAACTCCATAGCTATTAAAATGTGTTATAATTTGTTCAATATTAGAGAGAGGCACGAGATATTCAGAATTTTATAGTTTACCTGCAAGAAATGTTAATCGTCCGAAAAGTATTGATTATAATTACATTATAGAAATAATACAATTAGAAAATAGCTCGTGCCGATACGTCAGAGACGTCGAAAACAGATAATACCCATAAACAAACGAACTGATACAGAGATCTGCATCTTTTCTAATTTTTCCAAAAAAATGAATTCAGTAATCGCCTTGGCTGAACCAAGATCAATCACATTATAACAAAAAAAAATTTACCTATGCACACACGTGCGCGCATGGCTAATTATTTCCATGCGTATTTTTATTTTTTAAAAGTTTGGAATACGCATTCGATGATTTACACTAGTAAAGTTGAATTATTCTTTATTTACCAATCAAATCATAATAAATTATATTGTGCGAGGTTAGATCATAACTCATTTATACAAGACTATTGAAATGATGCAATTTATAACTTTGCCGATTATAGGATTCAACTGAAACGCTATGGATATTCACAGTCTGTAAATGGCTTAAATACTTTGTACATAATGAAACTTTCACCAAATGTATATTTTTCGTAGTAAATGTTTAAGGAGTACTAGGAAAAGTTTTGATAATTCGATATTTGTAGTTGCATAATTTAAAATTGTCTGTTTCCAAAATCTCCATCATCGTATACATCCATCATATACTTCATGTTATCTTATATATACTACAAGTTATTTTTTTTACATTAGCCCACTACTACAAGGAGCGAGCGTTGCATTCGCAGGATACCCATACCTATTGACATCCTATCGATGGTCGATCTATAAAGGCCTATTTATGAATCGCAAAAAAATACAAGTACAACCAACTGCCTCTGTATAATAAACGGCCGACTTTGAACAAGCCGCGAAATTCAAACGGGTCGCATGCAAGTTGCATTTCGAGCGCCGCCTGTCGCCTACATTTCGACCCCCTCCCCCTGATCATTCTTCGAAACCGCTTACTCCTGTGGCTGGTACCCACACACCCGCGGCCCATGTTTGGACCTTTTTCGCACGCTCACCCACGCGCAACTGTACGTTAGGTGCGCGCGCGCATTCAAAGGCGGAGGCGACCAGGTGGACGATACACAACCATTAATACTGTGGGTCAACGAGAACGGGACAAAAACTAATACGGGAAGTGCGAAAATCGCGCTATTACGTATCGAGCGCGATTCGCAATTCAGATGCAATCTGTCCCCGTATTATACTCGCGTAAGAAGATGTATATTACTCGTCTTCAGTATTATCATCATTAGTTATCATTAAATCAGTTCTATTTGTGTTGCGAATGTCGATTAGCGATTAGTGTGTAAAAATTATTATTTATAACAAATACGTAAGATTGACTCGTTAGCTGTCATCTATTTACCTTGCTCGCCGTAGTTAAAAGTATTTGAATCTTTGATTGATTCGTGTCTTGTCATTTTGCGTATTTCTTAGGACAGCCGCGCGTGCGTGCACGAGAATATAGCAGCTTAGGCCTTTGAAAAACTTTAACTTCAAAATACCTTGCTTAAATTATTACAATAACTTCAATCGAATAAGGGAAGAACGGGGAGATGATAGATTGTAGCTTCTTATTATCGTTATGTTTTTGTTTTATTTCCCTGTTGACCTTATATAGTTTTGTAGCATAGTTTAAAAGACAAATAGCTCTTAAGTGCTCACATCCTTGATACATCAGTCAGCATTAATTAAAATATAATAATTTGTCATATGAATTTGTATAAGCGCAATTTACAGTATCTCTGTCGTGAGAACATTTTCTCCAGACTAAGATTTCTCTTAGTTAGCATCATAAGTATTATGTTCCCAGGACGAACAATTTGCTGCTTATAAAAACGAAACATTATAGTATGGAAGAAAAATTGGATTTAAATTCTTGGTATATTAAAAACGTGGATTATCATTTAATTTGCTCCCGCTAGCCTTCTTACACAATTCAAATATTCTGAATCGATATCGATTTACAACACAACGTCCACGTACGCAAACACTCTTTTCGCATATTCAGATGGAATGAAAATCATAAACAACTGTAGGTAATCATCATCAATCGTGAGATTTATCGGCACTGCCCATCCGTTAATTCGACTAGCGAACAACGTTAGAATACAAAAGCCTTAAAAACATCTCTTTGCCAAAATGTCCTGTTTTCTTTATCAGGCGCGCGTAAGATATCCTTCTAGGCCAGGTAAATTACCTGCTTGTATTTACGCATACTTGAGTAAGGTGCTTGGCGCGTCAACCTCAAGGAAGTAAACGTGCACGTATGCGCGCGCGCACCCAGAGAGAGGGAAGTCGGGGGAGCTCGAGATACAGAGAGAGAGAGAAAGACAGAAAGAGAGAACGGCGGCGGCTCGGAGAGAAACGGCACGGGTGGCAGTCGGGAGAAACATCGTCAGCCAAACAGTCTATCCTTTGGCTTCGCGCGCATCGCGACGTACACGCGTTCTTGACTGTCGCCAAAATCTCGCAACGCAAACCTTTCTTCGTGCCATCTCCGCGCATTCTCCCTGACATCCTTCCTCCCTCACTTCCTCTCTCTCTCTCACTCATTTGGTGTAATTGTCTGGTCCGCACATCCGCGGCTTGAATCTACCGCGGGATAAAAAAAGGAACTGCGAGTGCGCGCGCGCGCGCGCAAAAATCGCGTGCAAAAGACTGAGATAAAGGGAGGGCTGCCGATTACGCGTGTATGCCTTTGGGCCCCCTCCTCTCTCGCTCGCTCCCTACCTCCCTCCTGGTCCCTCGCCCCACCTTCGTCAAATCCTCGCGTAAATAAACTGGACTTACTGTACTGTAGGTGTGAGTACGTAACGTGTTGTGAGTGCGCTAGTGTGCCCCCGCTCCCGTGCGATATGAGCGGCAGCTCACGAAGCGGCTAAGAAGAGAGAGAGAGGGAGAACCGCGGCGACTGATAAGCGACAGCGCTCCTCCGGCCCCTCCACATCCTCGTCTTCTCATCGCGCGTGCCTCGCTGTATAGCTCGGCTATAGCGTACGCACCTCTCGCCTTTTTTTTCTCGTTGCCGCGCGCGTGTGCGTGTGCGCGGTGTCGTGGTGCGCGCATAACCTAGAAAAAGGGCCACCTACGCCTCTCCCACGTACATGTATCCCAAGACGCGTGTGTGCACGAGACGTAGAGGTGGCGGAGGAGGAGGAGATAGTGCGTGTTGGTGTGTGCTATCGTAAGGAAGTAGCTCCGGTGAAGATATATAGGCTGGGAAACGCACGTCCGCGAATCCTTTCTCTCTTTTTCTCTCCCTCCCTCTCTTTCTCTCTCTCTCTCTCTCTCTCTCTCTCTCCCTCACTCCCACCCCTCTATCTCCCTCACTCCACCCCTATCTCGTTCACTCACTCAATCTCTCTCTTCGCGTTTTTTTTTTAATCCAAAGAGCGAGGAAGAGAGTGACACGGCGGAGTCGGAGAGGCAAGAGGGAGAGAGAGACAACGTGAAATAGCGCGAGGCTAAAGACATCCTTAATGACTCGCGCCTTACGTGGGCCGCTTGGACCCGAAGCAGCGACGACGAGGAAGACGCTCAAGAGGGAATTATGTTTGATGTACCGCCCAAGTTTTACGAGCTCTGCCGCCTTTGTTTGTCGTCGGACGGTGTCAAGCTGTCCATATTCGAGGAGGAGGGCACGCAGCGCAACTTCGCCGACAAGATACTCACCTGCCTCTCTATCGCGGTACGGTTTACTTATCTTTTTATTTTTGCTACATTTTAGTTTGAATGGTAAACCAACTGGTGAGGATTGGTGTGGGCGAGGCGGGTTATCAAGCATTGAAGGTGCGAGCACGCATTTCAATTGTCGGTGCGCACGCTAATCTCACCGATTGCGAATCTCATGCTTTTGACTGGTAGTGATGAAAATTTAGAATGAATCCAGAATTTTGCAATAATGTGAATATAGATGCTTCGCATAAAATCTTGAATAAGAGAATATCCATGGAGTTTACAGTTGATGTTCAACTGTTACGTTAAAAAAATCTTGATTTTCATTTGATTTTACGGTTTAAAATAGCCGAACTAATCTTAAAAACAAACACGTAATTGCGCGAAGAATTGATATCATCGGGAAGTTTGTCGTCTGATATTGCTAACAATATCGCTGATTTATTACCTAACCTCAAAAGTATAAATTACATGGTTATTCGAAAATTGTTATTTTCTCATCTATTTTTAATTCCAAACAGTGGATGTTTATTTTTAAATCCACTGAAAAGTAATTTCGCATAGTGTTTTCGAATTCTGTACAAGCGATGGTTGTTTTAATACTGTGTTGCCATTACGTGTGCAACTGCCAAAAGCGCAAACTTTATCGTTTACAAAAAAAAAAGAGTCAATTGGATTAGTCGCATCTAAATTTTTTTATACATCAAGAATAGCAGACAAATCATGCAAATTCATAAGAGGCACGTTTTAAGCCGCATCTTTGCACAATCAGAATCACAACTTCTCTTTGCACACGCACACGCCGCTTTCGCACATACACATAAGTTTGCATTTATTTATTTAGAGTTTGCGTGCGAGCGTGTACGCGCAACGTGTGCGCGCGCGCAGTTACATGTGTGTACGTGCGTATCAACGGTTAAATGACTACAGTGCCAATATTACATTGAGAGTGCATTGTAAATAATTATGACGCGTAACTTTAGTACGGAATTTTCGCGTAGGTTAGAATATTGTGACATTTCATTGTATTTTTCTTTGATTTGCGCACTTTAACATTCTCACTATCAATAAGATTAAATTCAATGTTAAAAGATATTAATTTCACTTCTGTTATATAAAAGTTTAGATAATTATTGTTTCTATTTAGATAACATTAGGTAGATTGTTATTTTACAAGGACGAAGAGATAACGAGCTTTCGAGTTTCTGGGTCATTGTGCCATTGATAGCTTGCATTCCAATTTATCTTTTGTATGTTTTCTATTGTATTAACGCAAAGTTTCTTGTAAATTTATCATTGCTAAGAGATTGATATTAATTTGTATAAAAACTAATTATATTATCCTTTGGTTTAAGTATCAACTATTTTTTCTGAACACTGATAGCGTAAGTCTGTCAATATTTAATAAAAGTATATTTATATAATTGATAATAAAATTTATATATGTATTCAATTCTAGTATAACTGCCTAATTTAAAAGTAAATTACATTTTTCGCGTGTTAAGGATTTGTGCTAAAAATCAAATGAAAAATTTGTTTATCCCTTATTTTAAATTTATTCGTAAAATATGAATTTAAATGAATTCTATCCTCTCAAAAGGTGATGCTAAATTTGAGTTTATTAACTAATTTCATCCTCATTACTTGTATTTTAATTTATATTCATTATCACCTGTAATAATTAATCCTTGAAATTTTATCTTATATGTTAAATATAACATATTTAATAAATATTTACATGTCATTTGTTAAAATTTAATAACAGCAAATTATAAAATTTTCTTTAAAAAACAAATATATATATATATTAATTTGTATATTGTATATATATTGTTATATATAAGTTGTATCTGAGGATTTCTGCTGTTTACTAGTTTAACAGTTAATCAATTAATATTCTCCAAGTTTTATTATATCAATATTTAAATGAAAATCGGTTTATCATTATATTAATTGATTGAACGACTGTCTATGTTCTCGCAATCAAATAATTATTTTAACATTATTGTATATTGATTATGAAACACAAAATGAAAGCAATTATTTTCAGTACATTTAAATCTTGCATTAACTTGTAAATCGATAGCATATTAAAATGCAAAGATCTAATTTGTAAATGTGGTATGCTTTGTATATATTTGTTTAAAAAGAGCATATTTAAAGAAGTTTTGTGGCTTTCTGCTAATAGTATTTAACAAAATTAATAATGCTTCACGTAAGAATATAGTACTTTCTTTATGAAAATAGTACCTTTTATCATTTTAATATATATATAAATCAAATATATATATATGTATGTTAAGCTGAAGAATAAATATATCAATTTTACATAATTTTTTTTCTATATAATACCGGCCTTTACATGATAATATTTGCGCGTGTATTTATATTTATATTTGTAATCAATTAGACTTAATAAATTATTGTGTATATGCAATGAATGCATATTTGAAACTGAAAAAACTAAGTATGAAAATGACTTTCAAGTTCTCTAAACATGGTTCGTAAGCCTCCGACGGAGTATTTCTATATATCTATCTATATATCTACTTTAGTCTCAACAAGATAAATGAAATAAAAGTGAAACCGCCCACCCCTCCTTTTCTTGTACGCACAAATGTTAATTATAATAGATGCAGAAGAAGTGCTTAATCTATGTTTTCCTTGCATTAAAGATAAAAGGAAACTGCATATACCAATGTTCTTTGATTGTTTTCCTATTCTCTTCATCACTGTATTTATTTATTTATTTTTCTTATTTATTTCGGTGGTAAAGTGTCAATTTCAAAAATATTGTAACCCAGTCCTTAAATAAAAAGTATAAAAGTTTCTCGGCATACCTCTCAAAACTAAGGAAAAAAAATAGCGTCTCAGATTCTTACTAAGTATGAGTTGAAAGTTTCATCCGGCCTATCCCGTGAAGACATCTTACCTCGCGTATTATCGGCGAATCTTGGCTGGGACGAAGGAGCCGCGATCTCGCGTAACATCTGGGAGTTTTTCGTTTCCCTCGCCCGATCCAGTTTTTGACCTTCTCTTTACGTTCCATTTGATTTCATCTCTCTATTATCTCGTTTTTGTTCTTCTCTAATTCCTTGGCAGCTTCGCTGTCCCCTCCACACTCTAATTTACATAGATTCGGTCGTGGCATTTTTCGTGCTTCGATTCGCCATTTTGGTGACGATAAGAATGACGGTTCAATGCATTAACGATCATTTTATGTTTAACATTATTTAATCAATGTCTCGTCGATTGGTGTAGGTCAATTAATTTGTCAGAGTATTTTTAGAATTCATTGTGATTTTTTCTTTTTTTTTTTACAAAACAACATTCATGATAAATTGCAATAGAACACACGTATTAAACGTATTTTATAAAAGGCATATTAAATATTTCTTTATTATATTTATTGAAGCTATTATCTATAAAATTAAACACGAATAAGAAAAGAAAAAAATTATGCGATGCCGAAAAAGTAAAATTTGTTGAATACACTGTTACAATACGTATTTAAAATTAATTACGTACGTCTGCATAAAAAAAAATGATTTGTACGCAATTCAAATGAAAAGGGAGTAAATGTAAATAGATTGAATAAATTATTTTCATTAACAGATTTACTTTAAAGTGGGAAATTATACATAAAAATAAGTTTGAAACTACTATTATTATATCTATAATTTAATATTTAGTCCATTCTACATATGCACAACATATACTTTTGTGTTACGTGCCGTAAGGTTCGGTAAGTAACGATACTTTTTAATGTTATTCAAGACTATTTTTTGTATACGATAAACTCGTTTAAAATCATTTGAACATGTGTATTATTAGTTTTCAAACCAAATCAACAACATAGAATTTTTCAATGTTCCCTCTCGTCTAAAGATACTATGTGTTGCCCTAACGAAAATCTAAACCTCATGGATATAAATTGGAACGAGTTTTATAATTGCTTCACAAGTATCTCATCAGGAGTTCAAAAAGTGTTCGACTTTTTAATAATCTTACTTTCTCCCGCTTGCTTAGTCATTGTTTAATTCCTCTATTCATTTTGTTTAACGGTTGAAAAAATCAGTTCCTTAATATTTGCGAAATCTGGCAACTTTTTAATTTTTTTTTTACAAGTAACTTGTAATATGTTGATTGGAATAAATAATTCATTATGGCCAATTGCTATAAAGTCTATTGGAATATTAATGAAATGTATAGTTTTTTTATTCATTCTAATTTCAAAATTACTCAAGGTAGAATTTTCTCACAGTGACATTACTATCAGTCTTGCGTTGTGTAATCACAATAAAAAACATTCGTTATATTATATTCGCACAAAGCTCAAACGGAAGTTCGGTAAAATTGTGTTCCTTTGAGAGTCGTGTTGAATTGCGTTCTTTTTTATTATTTCTCATTCGCAAAAAGAGTCGAAACAGCGTAGAGAACAATGAAAGACAGAAGAAGCAGAATAAGAAAAAAGGGAGGGCAAAACGAAGTAGAGTGAGGAGGGTTAAAACAAGAATTGATAAAGAATCTTTTTTCTCGCATTCTCAACCTTTCTCTTTAATTCGTTTCTTTCCATCTCTTTTCCTCTCAGCCTTTCTTCTTCATCCTCATTATCATTCTTATTCTTCAACCTTCTCCTTCCTCTTCATTTATTTTTTTATCCTTTCGGCGGCTTGGAGAAAAGAATAAATGCGTTTAGTTTATAAATTGAGAAAACATATTTGGGATAAGAAATAGATTATGGATATTGAATTCAAATTTACATTCTAATGAACAGAATGTTAACGATTAAGCTTTTGGCGAGAATTTCAAATTACATAAAATTATAAGTTCCATCTCGGCTATAATGTATATAATGTCTGAAAGTTAATTAAATAATTAAATGCCTTGTAGGCAAAAATAAAAATATGAATTTTTTTAGCCATCAATAATATTGTTTGACGAAAAAAAATTAAATTCATTTTATAAGTAGCAAGCTCATAAAAAGTAATATACTATGTACATGCTCATTAA